TTTTAAATGTATATATGCATGTAATAACTATCTTTCTAGCCAGCTAGCTATAGATATCCGAATTATATATGAGAATTTACATATCAGATTTATATATCAGAACTGTATATATCGGATTTGATTGCATTCATCCTGCTATGCATTTTATTTTTTTGTGGTTTTTATATTTTGTGTGTTTTTTTTTTTTTTTTTTAATTTTATTTTACATTTCTTTAATTCTTTGATTTTTCCTTACTTTTACATAATTATAGGGAATTTTGATATTTAATGGTATTGAATTTCAATCCTTCTGGATCTTTGTAAAATTGGTTCTATATTTCTCACTTATTCTTTCTCTGTCTCTCTCTTTTTCTGTATATATATATATATATATATATATCTCCGTAAGATAAAAAAAAATGTAAATCGAAACCCTAATTTTAATCTGCAATATTAACTCTTCATTTTGATTGTGTTATTTCTCTTTTCTGCTCTAGTAACTGCTTATAATAAAATTCTATAATTTGAAACTTAATCAGGTCATATGATTCTTGCATAACGCTAATGATTCAGGTACTTAAAAGCTTCAGCCGATCAATAATTTTAAATTTTGGAATCAAAACTTTTAAGAAGCAATCGGAAAAAAAAATCTTAATTGAAAGTGAATCATTCTGACATGTCGCATTCCCACTCTCCTTCTCTAGCTAATCAAAATGCTGCAGCTTTTCTTACTGTAACATCTTAAAAATGTTAAAGTTCTCAAAGAACAGACGTGCTTATCCCGTCAAGTTATGTGGGACTGCATATGTCAAGAATAAAAATAAAGGTTGTAAGGATTATGTTAGTTTTATTAACAGTTAAATTTTAAATTAAAGTTCCTTTCCTGTCGAATTCTTCACTTCAACTTACTACTCCCGGCCAGAATGTAGTTTTGGAATCATTCTGAAAATGAGGAGGAGCGGTATTTAAACCGCGAAGTCTACTTATAGAGTTAGAGAGAATCGGAGTTTCTGATTTGCGCGCGTCTCCCTTTTGGCTACTCTCTCTCTCTCTCTCAAAGCTGTTATTACGCTCGGCCATACTCAGGCCCTTGATAAGCTTCGTAGTCAAATAGAGTTAAGGGGCCAACTTGTTTAGAATCTTGATAGCTTCGGCTATATCTCTTTAGTTAATCTTAGTTTAGTTTAATTTTTAGTCTCTTACGTTCAAGCCCAAGTGTCGACTTTTATTGTACACTCCAAGACGGAGTTTTGTTAAATCTTATTGGAATAATAAAGGGTTAGTTACCCTTCCATCTTGTTACACGAACTTAAGCGGTTATTCACGTTGACCCCTCCGAACTTTCAGTCCCTGAGACGTCCACAAATCCAGTAGAAGGGTTTGGATTTCTCGTGGAAACTTTGCGTGCATCTATGAAACCTGCAGCAACATTTGAAGGCGAGGGCTCAGTTCTGACATTTTTGGAGCAATTGGACCTACATTTTCACCTTACATCCTGTGAATCAGCTGCAAAAGGTGACCATCGCTACTACAGCCTTAAAAGGTCAAGCCCTCAGCTGGTATAAGGGCATAGGAAAGTTCTTGTTGGAGATCCCAGGATCGGAATTGTATAGCTGGGAAAATTTCAAATATGCATTACTAAAAGCATTTTCAGTTGTTAAAGATCGTGCGAAGCTAGAATCAGAATTGTATAGTAAATACCAAGGCAGTTTCGAGGAACTGACGAAGTTCATTTTAAGAAAAGTTCATATTTTCAACTTATTATACGGGAAAAGGCGCGATAATGAACTTCTGGAAGTAATTCTACTGCGTCTTTTACCGTCAGCGCAAGATTTCCTCGAAGTGCGTAATCCGCAAACATTAGTTCTATTTCAGCTTGCAGTGAAATTTCAAAGTAGAAGAAACTCGGAGAAAGCGCGTGCAATTCAGTTTGGCCAGTACTTAAGATTCACTCCTCAAAAGAAACCGCAACTTCAGTACAACGCGTATCGGCAGACGGGTAAAAGTGAAAAGTTCAATAACAAAAACGCAGATAAAACAAAGAATGGCGGGAAAAAAAATCAGCTTAAAAAGAGGCGGTGGATGACCAGAATTTAAACTCAAACCGGTGATCGAGAAGGAGCAACTGTCACCGAGTGGGAAGGAAGACCCCTCAGAAATTCATTTAAATACAGTGGTGGTGCAAAATCTAGCTATGCCAGAGATACAGATTCTGGTAAATAATGTACCAACCACTGCACTCCTGGAAGCAGGGGCGCAATGTTCATTCCTCTCAGAAGATTTTTATAGAAAGCACTTTCGTCGTTACAGACTGTTTAAAGACATGCGACAGACAAAAAGTAATCGCCGCCCAAGGCAAACAGTGCGTATGTTTGGGAAGGTGGCGCCGTCAAAATGGAGGATGTCCAAAAGATCGCGTTTATTTTGCAAAATCAGGCATCTATGCCTTCTTAAGAATGCCCTTTGGTTTAAACAGAGCACCAGCTCCTTTTCAAAAAGCTATGGACATAGTCTTGAAGCCAGTTTTAGGTAAAAGTACAATTATTAATCTTGACGATATCATAGTTACGAGCGAAACATTAGAGGAACATTTGGAAGAAGTTTTTGCCTTAGTTAACGAGGCCGGTTTCAAAATAAATGCAAGTTCGCGGCAAAGGAATTGCGATACCTGGGATACAAAATTTCGAATAAGGGGATAGAGACTGATGATTCCAAAATAAAATCAATTAAAAGTTCTCCTCCCCCAAATATGGCTAAGAAATTATCTTCGTTTTTGGGCTTATGTTCCTAGTACAGAATGTTCATTAAAGACTTCGCCAAAATTGTGGAGTCTCTTCTAGTGCTAAAAAGAAAGAAAAGTAGATTTTCTTGGACAGCCGAGGGGAACATCGCTTTTGAACAACTAAAGAATGCCCTAATCAATGCCCCAGTCCTTAAATTCCCAGAAGGCGAAGAAGGTCTAGAGATTTCAGCGGATGCATCCGATTATGCAGTTGGAGCGGTGCTCTCCCAAAATGGGCAACCTATAGCTTTTTTTTTTTCTTTTTTTCCGAAAACCTTGAATGCTACCCAGAGGAACTATTCCGCCACTGAGCGAGAAACGCTCGCTGTCTTATTAGCGGTTCAGAAGTTTCGTGACTACTTCGGAAGTTCCCCGATAACGGTCTACTCAGATCATGCGGCAGTGGGTCGCTTGTATTCAGGAAAAAATTTATCGCCTCTCTTGATGCGGTGGACTTTAAAATTACAGGAATTCAATTTAATTATAAAACACACACCGGGAAAAGAAAATGTAGTCGCCGATGGCCTTTCACGAATAAAAATGGATGAAGAGGGAAACACAATTAAATGTGCTATGCTCACCTCAAGAGTTATTGCGTCTCGTGATACAATTGTGGAAGAATTGAAAAAGGACCCAGAATTTAAAGATATTTACGCATACCTGGAAGACCCTGAAAAGTTTGAGCATATAAATTTAACGGCTATTCGCAATAATGAGCAGCATTACGAAATAATCGACAAATTGTTATTTTATACAAAGGTAACAAATGAAAATCAGGAATACCGACCAGTGATCCCAGCGAGTCTACGTTTAAGTATCTTAGAGGAGTTGCATGATCTACCGTCAGCTGGACATTTCGGAATACGAAAAACACTAAAGAGGGTACGCGAAGTGGTTTATTTTCCGCAGTTACAAAGAATTGTTACGGCGTATGTTAAGTCGTGCCATATGTGCCAGTTCATAAACGATGTTAATTACAGCCCGGCCGGGTATTTAAAAAACATAAAGACCATTTTTCCGAATGAAATAGTTGGCATAGATTTGTTTGGGCCCTACCCTAGGACAAAAATAAATAAAAATAGATATCTATTAACAATCGTTGACCATTTTTCAAAATGGGTAGAAATAGTCCCTCTTAAACGAACTTCAGCTAAAATAGTGCAGATTCGTTTTTAAATAAATATATTTTAAAATACGGGGTCCCACTAAAAGTAATATCAGATAACGGAAAACAGTTTGTTAGCAATATATTTAAAAATTTGTGCACAGGATTTAGTATACGCCATTTAAAAATGGTACCATATAGACCGCAATCGAATATAGCGGAACGCGTAAATAAAAATATTGTAAAAATTATCAGGGGCTACTTAATCTACCAGGAGCTTAAAAAACTACCGACTTAATGGTATATTTCATTCGTCACTTTTACGGATATTATACGAAATCTAAAAAGATTGAAAATAAAGTTTATTATTTCAAAATATTTAGCGTATTTCTGACAATTTACTTTGTTTTCCTGTTTCCACGAACATGAAAAAAGGGTATGCAAATATTTTTTCAGCAACATTAAACAGCATTTTAAATTGCCATCAAAATTATTTCTCCTTTTAAATCGTCTTTACGTTTAAAATTAAATCTCCTCTGGTTAAAATTCTCTACAAATTTGAAAGCAATCTTGATATTTTATATAAATTTAAATTACTTTAATCATTATTCTATTATTCATATATGAAGCTAAAATTTTTCAATGAATTTTAACATCTTAGCTAAATTTTTATGTACATTTTTGCAAAAAAATATATTTTCTTGATTTAATACAATGAGTCCGGCGCCGAACTCAGCAATGACGGATATTTTTAAGTTCAACTTGAACGTTTTTCATGCGAAGGGCCATTCATAAATTTTACGTATTTTTCTCGTGCAATTTACGAATGCATGCTGCCTGAGGTATACGTTAATGGCAACCAAGTACAAATTAAGTGTGTGGGTTAAAGCACATTTTCGCCCAAATAGATTCAGCAATTGCTTATCTCATTGTTCAGCCGTAAACTTGATTGTAGGTTATTTAGCTTTCATTGAAATTTATTATGAAACCGATAACATGAAATAAATTTTAAAAAAAGTTGAAAAAAAATCATATATTTCTTAAAAGAATTCAAAAATATATAACATTTAGTTTTAAATGAAAGATTATGTATTACGCACGCACGATTTATTTTAAATAATTATATTCAATCACTAGGCGTTAGAACACTTTACCAGATTTTTATCACTAGCAGATGTAAAGAAAACGCATATATGTCTTAAATTTATATTAACATATCATTTTTGCACAATGTGGAGGTAAAAGGTCTAGATCATTTCAAGATTTTCGTATTATGTTATACGACTACTTTAAAAATACCTTTGAGGAAGATAAACTGATCATAGCAATTAATCAGTGGATTCACAATCTGACTCTATATCAGTATCTCCCTCAGAATTTTCTAACAACGAGAACCACTCAGGAAAAGCGATAACAGAAAAGGGCGAAACAAATGGCTCCATGCGAAACGGATTCCGTCCATATCGGTAAAACGGCTGCAAAATGTCCCCAACTGATTGATTCAAAATAACATTAACAGCATTCAAGCACCTGAGATATAATACATTCCGAGGCTCAAGGGAAAGAGCCTTCCGGAAACAACGAGTGGCTCTGTCTGGACGGTTCATGAAGAAATATGCTAGACCAAGTCTACCATAAGCTTTCCCATAACATCGATCTAACTTTAAAGCTTGATAACAATCAGTTATGGCTGCTGGATATAGTTTTCGTTGAATCCTAGATGCAGCACGGTTGCAGAAAAAGATGGCATTCCATGGGTTTAAGCTTATAGCTTTAGTGTATTCTTCTTCGGCTAATTCATACTGTCCATCAGCCATCCAAGAATTGCCCAACATTTTACATGTTTCGGCTTTAATACAGTCTTTGACAGGTACAGGTTTTGTGGCACGATCGAATATTTCCTTTAAAGATGGAATGTATCGCAAATGAAGATAGTCATTTATTTGAATAGCATAAACTGTTTCCAAGCAGCTAACAGCCGTTCTCAGGTTTTGCCTCCTCATTTTAGACTTATCTGAAGACATTCTCAGCAAAAAATCCGCTATAGAGACGATCAAAGTTTTTGCTTCTTCCCGCTTGGCCATGAGAAATCTACAATCTTCACATTAAAATTTTGCTATATTCGCTCATTAAGTCATTTAAACTACAAACCGAAATATGTTAGATTCTATTGAGATTACATATTAAGAACTGTATGAGATTTGTTTACATAAAAATATACGTTAACAAGATAGAACGTGATTTTCAAAACGCAAAATAAATTTACAAAAGCATATAATTGTGAGAAAGATGTACTACTATGATGTCGCGAGAAACTTTTTAAAGATCTGATATTACATGTAGAGTCGTCTGTAGTAACTGTAACTGCACATATTACCTTACGTAATATAATTTACAAACAAATTAAGTGCTTTGCGTAAAATTTCGTGACGCAAAATTTCTTTGAATAATGCTTAGCATTCATTGGCTAAAGTGAAATGTTTTCTTTCTCATTGATTTTAATTCTGTAGATTCAAAATGTTCTAAACCTTTCCTGTTTCAAGATAATACATTTCTATAGGAATATATTCTTGCGTGCGCACGGGTTCGTAATAATTTGAATGCATAAGTCCGATGAAAAGTGATGTGGTGGTGTATTTAATTATGGCAAAGCACACGAGGGCTATCTGCCTAAAGGGAGGGATGCCTTCGTGGAGGACTTTCTAAGGGAAACTGGCACGTATACACGTTACACATGGGGAAAACCACGAAAACGCCGATGCAGCCAGCCCGTTCGCGGGATTCGAACCTCAAACCGAACTACCAGTGTTCAGCGACTTTACCGCTCGGCCGCTGATGGGCCCGATGAAAAAGTGAATAAAATTTATTATTATCACAGCAAATAAAACAAAATGCTTAAATTTTCTCAGATATTCATTTAATATTACAAAATCTCACAGTAGTTATCTTTTTAACTACCAAAACGTTCAATCGAACTAATTCAAAACTGAGAAACGTAGAGAAAGCTAATCCGATTTCACCGCGAATTCGCTACAGTCAACAACAGAAGTTTTCTAAACAAAAGTCATAAAAACAACAAAACTGAGTTGTTTGCATGCCGCTTATATAAGCTTTTTAAATGCACGAGAATTTTCTGGTATTTTCTCGAAAAACAAAAGCCTACAATTACGAGATACCTATATATTAAATTACGCGTGCTCTATTTTTATATTTTCCGGCTTAGCTTTTTCTTCAAATTTCTCACTCGCAGCATTGCACGGGAATTGAAACAATTCTATTAAAAATAGAAAATTAAATACAAAATTCGTAACACTGCCCCCCTTCCCAAGGACTGCACGTCCCGGGCAGTACAGTCCCTGGACAGGAAGCCAAACTAACAACTAAGGCATCAATGCAATAATAAACATTGCATTACAATAACAAACAACATAAACAGTAATTGCAATAGTAACTTAAAACAATTCAAATACTAACAAATACTAAATACATATCAAATACACATTTAGAAACAAAAAGGGCCATGCTCTTACACTATTCACAATTATATACACTGCGTGCTATGGCCATAGTAAGGGATTTTAAGTTTAGAGTTCGATGACTTACGGATCCGAACCATGACATCGTTCAGTCTGTTTAGGACTGCATAAGGACCATCCCAAGGTGACTGTAATTTGGGCCTGACTCCTTTTCGTCGAATCGGGTTCCACAACCACACCTTGTCTCCTTCGTGGAATCTATGTCCAGAGGTCTTCACTTTCTCCGTCGCCAAGTTGACTCGTTCTCGTGCAGAACGGTGCATCACTTCAAACCGGGCCTGGACATCTTGGATGTATTCCTCAGGCGATGAAGGCGCATCCGTAGGGCGACCAAACAGGCGATCACAAGGCAGACGAAGAACTCGACCCGAAGAGCATCTGGGATGGAGAATAGCCGGTAGTCTGGTGTTTTTCTTCCACCATAGTATAATTTCGGCAGCTTTCTGAGCAGGGTCTTTCAGACGAGATGTCGGCGTTTCCAGGTGGGGATGCCTTCTCATGATGGATAGTCAAGTCCTCAGATGCTGAAAGCAGTTTGTTGTTTTTGAAGTTTAAGGAAAAATTCCTTAAGAAGTCCAATCCGAATATGCATGGACCTGTAATATCCGCCACATATGCCGTGTGATGGTAGGCAACGCTTCCAAACGCGCAGCATTGCACGGAGGAATGAAACAATTTAATAACAATTCTATAAAAAATAGCAAATTAAATACAAAATTCGTAACAATATTGTTGCGTGCGTACGGGTTCGTAATAGATTGAATGCTCAAGTCTGATAAAAGGTTAATTAAATTTATTCTTATCAAAAGAAATTTAACAGAACACTGGTATTTTCCTTAGAGATATTGGCTAAAATTCCATAAACAGGGTAAGTTGGCGCCAAACTATTTTGGCCTTCAAAATTTGGCGAGTTTTTTAGGCGCACTAAATGAAAGCACTAAAATGTAATTTTTAAACATAAACAGAATAGTAACTTCTAAGTTTTGCAGTAGTGAAACGCCGTTATTTTATGTAAACAGAATAGTAAAATGGGATGATAAAATACTAGATGACTAAAACAAAGTCCAACAGCATTGCAAGTGAAAGCATAGTCCTATATATATGTAATTCATCATAAAATAGTAGAATGAACAATTCTTGTAAATAATTATTGAGTAAATAAATGTATATGTTACGGTGAAACACCGAAATCTGGAGAATGTCGACTTTCACCGGTGAATGTCAACATTCACATAGTCTCTTGCTGTATGTCCGAAATATTTTCCAAATACTCTTATTTCTGACTTACACCGGTCAATGTCGACATTCACCATGTACTATTGGTGAATGTTGAACATATAACAATGTTATATTTTCCTCTCCGTAATTCAGTCGCGAATAAACGCACTTGAGACTTGAAATAAGAACTTAAGAACATAAGAACCTAAAACACACAATACATTAAAAATGAGAAAGGAAAATAATAGAAGTTAAAATCTTACTTAATTATACAGTACTTTCTAAATGAATAAAAAACTTACTAAATTATGTGATTCAAATCTTATTTATTGCAACAACTTAAACTATTATGGCACTTTATGACCTCTCTTTTCGACTTTCACCAGACCATATCTGTGATTGTCGACATACACCGGTGAGGGTCTGAATATACAAGAATGTAGTGAAATATTCGGTCTTTCACAGACGTATTTGGTGAATGTTGATATTCTCCGGTGGAAGTCGACATTCTCCAATTTCGGTCTTTCACGGTAACATACACACTTATCAGATCAGAGCACTGCGAAGTCAGTTTTAAACGTAAACAGAGTAGCAAATTATGCGTATTCAGCATTATAAACTAACTAAAATATTCAAGTTACTATGGTCGTGGAATTCAGCACACTAAACAACTTTCGTTCAAAGCTTTAAATATTCCACATCTTTCGATTGCCACATGCAAGAAACAAAACTAAAAAAAAAAATTAACTAAATAAAATTAAATGAAAACATTCATAAATTATAAACTTCATGTCATATAAAATCCAACATTCTCCCACCAACAATAGCTTAACCTTCTGCAATATATTTATAAATATAATATTAAGCATATATATAAACAATAATATTAAACAGTCAAACTTTTAAAAACAAACACAGTATTTCAAAATTAAATTGAAAAAAAAATCTAGCTGCACTAAATTCGCGCTCTTACAGTTACCGAAATAAAGCTCTAGGTTTGCCACAAGAAAAACATACAGCCGGAAACCACAACCAAATTAAAATCGCGACAAATAAAAAACTCTCGCCAAGCTTGGCGCTCACCTCGATTATGGAATTTTAACCGAGATATTCGTACAAGTGTTCGCAATGTTGCTGAATAATAATCAGTAGTTATACTTCAAACTACTAAAAACGTTAAATAAATAGAATGCAATGCACAGCGCATTTAGAGAGAAAGCTTATCCGCTTTATCTCAGTCCACACGGAACTACATTTCCAACAACTGTAACTAAGCAACTCGACTAAGACGCTCTTTCTAAAGACGACTAAGACGCTCTTTAAATACGAATTACCGAGATAAACTTTTACTCAATGTTAAATGCACGTGTTCCTGTATTTTTTATTTTTCGGCATAGCTTTCTCTTAAAATCTGTCTCGCGCTGCATTGTACGAGGAAATACAACAATTTTAATTACAATTCTACTAAAACTAGCTATTTAAATATGAATTCGTAACAATATCTTCTAGCAAAGACGCTCATTCGCTACTTCACACGGGTTTTTCTCCTTTCGTGTCTTATTTACATGTCATTAGGTTTTCTACGTCTATGGTGCCACTCGCAACGTGTTATGAACAACTGTCTAACATGAGCTTATTATTTAAAAAAGTCGTAGAGTTATTATTATTGGAAATAACCATAATAGCCATTATTTATAATTTCAAATTTACTATCACTTCTTTCCGTTTTCTGACCAGAATGCAAATCAGTTTGAGAGTATTTAAACTGAGGGTGTTGAACTGTAAGACAGAGCGTATTTTTGCCTCTCGAGGCCATGTTACTAGGTTTCTGTAGCTCTGATAAGATTGTAAATCTTTGGTCCTGAGTTAATGATGCCGATATTTAAATTGTTACGCCAGTGAAAAATTTTGAACCAACTTCGCGTTAATTATATTGTGTAGTCTTTGATTATTAGGCTTAGTTAAATTTGAATTTTATTATTACTTTAAGTAACATCGCCACAAATAGCGGCTGATTTGTAAGCACAAGATGTGAAAATCTTTTCAAGACTCTGTTGTTATTGGACGTTACTGAAAAACGTTACAGAAGGGAACAGTGATAAAGTATGGATTAACAGAATGTTTGAAGTTCTCTTATAAGAAAGAAATCTAATGCTATCTTTCGTCTTGTTCTGATTCGAATGAACACTATCTCAACCCCAGTATGTAAACTTCATTAGAAAATGGATGCCTCAGATCTGAATCGTTACCTTGCACTTAAAGCTGAATCACCCTAGGAGAGATATTGGAAGGCCAGACACAAAATAGATTTATAGATTATAGGTACGATTATACTGTGGACGTTTTTTAGTTTTGTTGTTCTCTTTCATTTTTCCTTGTTCTGTCTACAGTTAACTTTGTCATCTGCTGTTGGATACAAAAAATATATATTCATA